CATATGTCCTTAAGATATTGCAGTCTTGAGGACTGGCCATGGTTTTCTTATAATTGCACATTTAAGATGCTTGTCCAAAAGTGAAGAAAGTAATTCTTAGCCATAGCATATATTAAAAAGAACTTCAGTTTTCTATGTTGACCCCTATCATCTTCTCTTAGAATACCCCTCTCAGGTTCTAATCCCATGGAAAAGACCTTAGCGGAAACATTTTTATCATAAAAATTCATGAAAAATTTTATTCCACTCTTATGGTTGTGGGCAGCATAAATCTTGTAGGTGAAGTTTTGAGAGTCAGATGTAGACCTCATCTAGATAAGTGAAAATGGTCTCTCTCACCAACAGGAGCTGTCCAACAAAAAATATTACTCACTTACCTTGTCTTTAAAAATAACTTAAAAAATGAGTAGTCCTGTGGCACCTTAGAGACTAACAAAAATATACGTATAGTATCATAACTTTTGTGAGCAAAACCCACTTCTTCAAATGAGATGATCTTGTCTTTGTAACTTATTTAACAGACTGAGTAAAGTCAATGGGACTTCAGTGCCTAAATCTTTTAGGCACTTTAGAAAATTTTATCTGGAATAAGTGAGGTCTACCAGCTTCTGCCAATATGTGTGTTCTAGTATTTGAAGTGTCACTGTTGCAGTTGTATTGTTATAACACGGATGCCCACTTTATATACTTGATGTTTCAGTATGGAAACTCAAAATTAAGACTTTGCTGTAATTTCCTTCCACCTTACTGAAAGGAAAAATCAGCACTTCCATTGTCTTCACAATTAAGGGGCAAAATTACCTAGTATCTCAGCTTGTTCAAATATTTTCATGATGGAAAAGCTAGTGTGGGGAGGAGGAGGGAAAGAACTGCTTTTTTACTAAGTGGAAGTGAAAGTTTTGTGGATTACGATACGGGGCGGGGGGAGGCTGAAGGTTAAAATTAAAATTCTACATGCTGACTTGCTTGCTCTTGATCTGATTCTTACTGACATAATCAGCTGCAATTGTGGTCTCCAAAGGGGAGACCTTGGAAAGAAAAAGAAAGTGGCACAAGGATTAGATTGGGTAAAAACAAACTCAAAGCAAAATATAAAAGGAGTCCTAAACTGAAATCTTGTTACACCTTATTGCTACAAATGAATATAAACATTGGTGACTCATGCTAGCACTCGGGAGGTACACTGCCAAAATTTTAATTATTACCTGAGGTGTCCCTATGTGCCCTTTGCTGGTGACCCCCCGCCCCAACAGGCACCAGTTGCCCCTGGATATAAAAGGTTTCATGGGTAGAGAAAATGTTGTTCCTTGGATGCGTATGCATAGGGAGGATGGTGGGACTGGGAAAGGAGAAGCTGTGAAAAAAACATGAGTTACAGGGGGTTGCACAGTGCATTTCAAATGTGAAAAATTGCATGAGTAGGTGAAACAGGAAAGGAAGGAGTAGATTAGAAGAGGTGGAAATAAACAGGGGAGAGTCAAAATGTCAGCTTCTTTTGTGCAACAGTATGAGCTGCAGCTTCTCCCTGCCCCTTTTGAGGGATGTGCTGCCAATGCTTTTAAAAAGGCCCCACATTTAAAAACGTGCAACATACCCAGATAAATACTCTGCTCCTGCAAAAGAAAAAGCCCAATAACTGTATGCTCTCCCTGCTCCCATCCCTTAAACAGGGGAGAGTCAAAATGTCAGCTTCTTTTGTGCAACAGTATGAGCTGCAGCTTCTCCCTGCCCCTTTTGAGGGATGTGCTGCCAATGCTTTTAAAAAGGCCCCACATTTAAAAACGTGCAACATACCCAGATAAATACTCTGCTCCTGCAAAAGAAAAAGCCCAATAACTGTATGCTCTCCCTGCTCCCATCCCTTGATAGCGGACCAGCTAAGAGGGGGTTCTTGGGTTTAGGCAGTGCTGGGGAGTGGAGCAGGGAGTTCCTATTATAGCAATTGTGTGGTCACATCAGTACCAGGGGAATTTAAGGAGAATTAAGTAGGTCCCGTCTTAATGTTTTTGAGTGGGTTGGGAAACAGTTTTTACTGAATTCCTTCTTCCCCAACACTTTCTACCCAGCATGATTAGCCCTCTTTGCACGGGATGTGCTTTATACTCTCTTCTCCCTCCCGCCCCCAACTGCTGCAGGAGCTGGGCCTAGCTGCACCTTCCACGTAATCTTGGCACTTTGATTGCATTGGGTTGTAGTGATTCATGTCCTCAAGCCTAGCTTCACAAAGAAGGCTAGAGATTTAAAAACGTTGAGCTCTCTTTGGTGGGGTTCAGCGGCCAGCTCTATTAACAAGGGATCTGCATAAAACCGTCAATCCTCAAAGTTCTTGTACCATCCTCTACAAAAGGGAAACTCCTTTCATCACTTACCATTCCTTATGAGAAACCTGGTTAGTCACGGCACAAGATATACACTCATCTCTACTTTGTACAACAGTTCACTTACAAAACTCTAGTCAATCAGCATTTATCAAAATGGATACTAAACACTGAAAAGCATAAACTACAGTGGAGATCATTAAAATCTATCTACTAAATGCCTACATTAGTGACCATATAGTTGCAACCCTATCATTCTTTCCCATAAAGTGAGGTTTTGGATGACTAAATGAATATGTATGAACAAAGTATAATTTCAGGACAGATTTTGAACCTGGGAGACCTGATGCCATCTTGCAATCATGTGTGAAGCTATATATCTATCAGTATAGTTGTATGTTTAGTATATTGGTCCATAGGCAAAATGCCCTCTGAGTCTAGCAGGACTCTGATTTAGGTGATATTAAAAATGTATATCTAGTAAAATACCTAGGAACACAAGTTGTAGGCGCTAGTAACACAGAAGAACAAAAATAGTTAAATTAGCACAGTCTACTAGCAAAAAAACTGCAAAAGATTACGGCTGTGTATGAAATAGTCATCCCAGGTACATAGAGATTTTCTAAATCATTAACTAACAGCATGGGGGAAAACATTATTAGTTGGAAGGGTCCTAACTCAAACCTCTAGTTGTGAAGGGGAATGTTGGGTCCACTGTAAATGACTGACATATGCATTTTGGACTCAAACCTCTAGTTGTGAAGGGGAATGTTGGGTCTACTGTAAATGTCTGACATATGCATTTTTGAAACAGTCAAATAGAAGTACAGATAGTTGTATTTATGTACACCATAAACTGTGAGCTCAAAATTATATGTGCAAAGTTGAAGGTTATTTATTACAATCAGGTGCGATATGTCTGACTAGTCTCTTACCAGGTAATTATTATAAGCAGAAACTAATTCTCCATAGAACTATATAAAATTCTCCAAACACCAGTGATAAGAATGTGTCTACGCTGCAATATCTATCATGGTGTTTTAAACCAACCTAGCAAATTTCTGACCTGTGCTCGAGCATAGGGTTGTGGTGTCCACGCTGCAATTCACAGACCTGAACCAGAGTAATCATGTCTCAGAATTCCTAATGCCACTCCATCCCAAAATATGGCCACTCTAGCCCTAGGAATGTCGTGCTTGGTGGGGAAACTTTATTGTCCAGCCTACTATCGTTAGGGAGCATCTTGTTTTGAAAAGACTTGATTGGTTCACTTTTCATTGCAAACCAAGGAAGCTCTCTGATGGCATGCCAATGATGAGACCAGAATGGGATAACACTAACATGACCTGCTGCTGTTTGTTGCGGAGGTGCTTCCATTTTCAATACAGTGGACTGCAGATTGTTGGGCTAGAGAACATAGAGTTCTGGTGGAATTGTGGGCTACTTGTGGATGACGCACAGGCCTTGAGGCATGTAGGACTGACTGTGGCTATGCTGCAAAATGGTAGTTTTGGTATTCTGAGTCCCAGCTTGACTTGGGCTTGGACCCTTCAGCTATGCGAGAGCCTGGTGTCTGAGCCATAGGGTTAGTGTAATTGCAATGTAGATGCCAGGGGGATTAGCCTTCCATCAGGGCTCGAGTGCAGGCTTACACTTCAGGGTAGATATATCACAACTTCTCTGTTTGAGTTACAAAACAATTGCCTTTAGGCCTTGGCTATCTGTGGATATTTCCCGTGCACTTGATGCATCTCACTTTTCAATTAGTAACCCACAACTTTCACCCAAAGACTTGTGCTCATTAGCATGTGCAACCTGGAAAATTTATAAATTGAAAGATGCATGACAAAATTACTGCACGACTTTTTCTCTTGCACTTTCTTCCTTAGTTTCATGGCTTGTTAGTAAGGAAACAAATGCCATTCAGGATGCGTAGGCTACCATTGGGCTATGATTTCGCTACAGAAAGCAGATAACACACAATGTTTCATAACCCCTTATACTCTGCAAAAGCTGCAGACACAAATTAGTCTGCTCCTTCACCAGTTCAGCTACGAGGTTCAGGTCTTTGTGGTCATCTCATAGTTTGAGTATCCTTTTATAGCAATGCAGTGCTGCAGAAGGCTGAAGAGAAGGTGAGGCACATGCTACAGCATCTGACATTTGCTCAGTGATTTATTTTGTAAAAGACAATTTGAATGAAGTGGGAAGCTATAATTTTTTTTGGCAACTATGTCCTTACAGTGAAGACCTCAAAAATCCATCTCCACTGCAAGGCAGATCCCAATTTTAATTAATCAGGTTTGCTGTAAATGAAGAGGTAACTCTAAGGTTACAACACCATTTATACAAGCTGGTAGTTATTGCTCCTAAGCTGCACTTAAGAAAGAGGCAGAAATTGACATTAAGAAGCAGAGTATGACAAAATTAACATATATTCCCAGTTCTCTTTTCTACAAGTAAAAGAAACTTTAAAAAAAACCCATATACAGCAGACATAGAGGTAGAGGTTTGAGATTTCATAATCATAAATATATTAAGTTCATCATATATATATATTTTTTACACAAAACCCATAGTTTTACCAAATGCTTTTACTTAAAGGTAAGGTTTAGGCAGCTGTACATTAACTCTATAAAACTATTATATTGAAGCTTTTTCAACAGTGAGCCTTACATGTAAGATAAGCATAGAATTGCAGACCTGGATGGGACTATGAATGTTAAAAATTGTGTATTAAGGTAACCATGCAACCGCTGACAGTCTCAGTGCTCAGATGGATACTCATACTGCAGGCTCTGTAGTGTAAAGTCTAGTTTTATATTGCAGAGCCCACAGCCAAACCTCCCTGGGAGCGGGGCTGCCTGCCCCTGCCAGCCCAGTTCACAGGGAGCAGACTTCGCTGTGGCAGCAAACCCTCTTCCTCAGGAGCAGAGTAGGCAGCGCTTGCCCACTTGGCTCCGGGGGAAGGTGGTTTCGCTGTCCTGCCACAGCAAAGCTGCATCCCTGGGAGCCAGCTAAATGTAGCTTGGACCATTAACTGGTAAACATCAGCTTATCAGTTGAACGGACCAAGAGAGCATCTAGTTAAGGGCCCTGTGCTCCTGACAGGACTATGTAGACTGGCCCTGACCAGCGTTTGGAGATTTTTCAGAGCAGGTTAGACAATGATGAAGATTCCATAAGTTCCATCAGCAATTTATTTCAGTGCTTAGGTTGATGCTGAAACTTTATTTCTCATATTCAGAGAGAACTGTCTGAATTTCTTTGACCTTGAGACATAGGTGGACTGTTTCATGCCAGAAAGTGGTGGAGAATATAATTTTTGAGTTAAATTAAAATGACATTTCCCAGCATTTGGACAATTTGTGCTCATCATTAACTCAAAAAATATTGGTATGCATAAAGTCTCACAGAGTTAATGATCATTGCAAAGTCAGCAATTAGCTGCCTCGTGAGTAAGGTAAAGAGGGGGGAGTAGAAGATTAATAGAAGATTTTTTTTTCTGATTCCTCACTTGGCATCTGGCATGTCTACAATAGATGTTTCATTAGAAACTGTCCCCTTTGTGACCTCACAATGAACAGTCCTTGTCAAGGATTTTAATGGGAGTAGAAAGGCCCCTGTTGAGTGCTCCTGAAAATCCAGGCCTAAATTATTCATGTACTCACACCACCATTGCCTGTGATTTTGTGCCATCTTAATCTGTTCTGTCACTTAGTAAAATATTTTGAAGTACAGATAGGAAAGTCTATAAAACAGATATTGGTGGTTTAACCCCACTCCACAAAAGACATTTTACCAGTCTTAAATACCCTGATATTGAAAAAAAAGACAGTAATCTAAATAACAATTGATTTTTATAGGTAAATATTTGTGGATTCATCGATTAAAACTGATGTAGTGATTTTGAACTATATTTCTTCTTTAATTATCAGTGATTGCTAACTATTTGCTTCATCAACTTAAAAAACAACAAATGGTCTGGTAGCTCTTTATAGACTAACAAAACATGTAGATGGTATAACTCAAACACCATACACAAGAATGTGTACCAAAAAGAAAATGTGCCACATTCAACATATGTGTTCTTTCTGTATACGTAGTTGTATAATAGAATGTTATGAGAGACCACTAGAGGTCCTTTAGTCCAGTCCCGTATCCTGAGACAGTTTTGATTTTCCATGTGATACAGTTACAGCCCTTATTCTACTTGGTATCTTTCTGATTAGATACATGTGATGAGATGTCTGCCCACCCTGGCCCTTTTATGGTAAAACCCAGCCTTGGAGAGGACTGAGAATAAAGCCCACAACTGAGTGAGATACTGCCAATTAGGGCCCAGCTGGGGGCAGTATTAGGAAGGGCTCTGGGAGGGAGGTGTGAACACACACGTTTGCTCTAGCTGAGAAGCAGGAGGGACCTGGCTTCCAGGGAAGCTGGAGGCTGCCTGAGATAGGGCAGAGATGGGAGAAGTCAGACAGAACTGGGGAGCTCTGGCCTAACGTCACTCCCAGGCTGCAGGGCCTGAGGCAAGACCTGAGTGTACTAACGCTGCAAAGTCACAGCCAGAGATAGGAGAAGGCAGCAGGTCCACACACCCTTGCCAGTCATGAGTGGCCCTTTCAGGCTACAGTTTGGCCCTGAGGAGAGGGGCTAGATGATGAGTACAGGAGGATAGGGAGTTCCATTAAGAGGAGAGGACCCCGGAGTGCAGAGATGTAGGGCTGTTGATACCCTCCCCCTCAGGAAGGGAGACTGAGACACAACTGTAGAGAATACTGCCAGGGGGCAGTATCCTGAAGGTAACGCCCTGGTCCAGGAGTGATGCGGGTCCAGAACCAGAAGGTGGAGTGAGGACACAGGCACTAGCGAGAGGCTAATTCCCTGTGCTACCAGCAGAAGGTGCTGTGGTGGTGAGTATGCCCCATGATAGGACTGCTCAGTATTTTGTTTTTAATACTGGGGGAAGGGGAGGAAGAAACAGTGCAGGAAAAACATCCCTTATTTAGAACAAAAATTAAATATCTGTTGTAATTGACTCTAACCCCCTGCTCCCCGTATAATTTTACATGATCATTTGGATACATTTTATGTCAAAACATGATCAGTCAAATTAGTGACAATTAAAAACCATACATTATTGCAACTGTTCTAAAAAAATCAGAACAAAACTGTAATTTATTATAGTTTTGCCTTCATTATACACCATGGTTTGGTGAATTAAGCACAACAAAATACTAGTATTCTTTAAAAGTGTCTACTAGATATAATAAAAAGAATGATAATTAACATTTAGTTTGTTACATTTTAAAAAATCAGATGTACATATTTCTATTGCCTGTTAGGTTTGTCTAAGCCTTTCAACTATTACAAAAAAAGAAAAATGTCATTGTTTAAAGTCAAAAACATTCAAATCAGTTGATACAACATTACAGTACAGTCAACTAACATCACTGAAGATCTAATCTTCTTTTCTCCGTTTGAGTCTTTAGACCGCAGTATTATAAAACTGGTTCAATGCCATTTCAAAACTGTATGTTAGCTGTTGCAGGATACTGTACTCTACTGATGGCTTCATAAGAAAGGGGTTGAACTTGCTGTGAATCACAAGGTAACCCCAGCCGATCATTAATTTTATTCATACTGTAGTTAGAACAGCATTAAGTTTAGCACAACTTAAAAAAAAAAAAAAAGGAAAAAAAAATTGGAAGCTAGGTGAAGCTGCCATTTGTGTCAAACAATTGCGATACGCTATACTAAAAAATTCTGAAATATCCACCTGTCCTCACCACTCTGCCACAAACTAGCAAAGTCAAAAAATACAAAAGTCTTCAACTTTTCATTTTTGCAGAATAAAGCAAAAAAGTCTTTGTGCTCCTTACTACCAGAAGCAGAATATCCTCTGAGTTACCACATGTAATAGCTTCTGGATGTGTCGACTTGGGTTGGCTTGGTCTCTGCAGAACCGTCTTTGTCTTTTTCACTGTCTCCTTCCCAGAGATTAATAAGTGGTGGATAAAGCTCATTCAGGGGGATTGAAGATGTCTTTTGCATATACTTCTTTAATGAATGGTGATAGTTTTTTCTCTTAAATCTTTTAGCAATATAAACAGAGAGAGAGGCAAGGCTGATCACAGCAAACATTGAACCCATTACAGCGGCAAGGGCGGTACTGGTTTCTTGGTCAGAAATGTCAAGGGCAAAAGCTGCATTTTTTGTTGTAACATTAACACAAGACTTTTGAGTTTGCTGATGGATATTTGATACAGTTAGACAGACCTCATAATCTGTAGATGGCTGCAAATGAGTGAGATTATATTCATGTACATCCACTGGGACTCTCGCAGTGTACGTAATGTGAGGGTTATCAATCTTCATAGTGGCTGATGACCATTTTAAATTGGAAGTCATAACATTGGAATTAACCTTCCAGGACACTAATATTGAATGAGATTCAGCTTGCTTGACATATATTTTCAGCACTTGTGTACCATCCAAAAGAGTTCCATTCACTCTTATAGTAGCTACTCTTGTATCAGCTCCTTCTATATTTTGAGCAACACATGTGTATCTTCCAGAGTCTTCAATCTGAATATTCGAGATTTCCAGGGTACCTTCACTACTCAGCTTGTACTTGTCAGAGAGACTTTCAACTGTTATTTTATTTCCAAGTGGAGTGACCCAATAAATTTCTGGTTCGGGTTCTGCCATGGCCCGACAATCTAGAAATACTGTCATGCCAATGTCCAAATTCAGATGATTTGGAAAAGTGTCATGGGAAATCATTGGAAGACATTGTTCACTTGAATCTTGTATTAACACTTCTTTTACCTGTTGTCCTCTGTATTCTGGTGGCATAGCACAGAACATTGATAGAGGCTCCATGAAACGAATATTGGTTTTGTTTGTGTTGATCCAGTGAATGACACAGTCACACCTGAGTGGATTACTGTGAATACTAATCTCTCGCAGGTTTGGAAGGGATTCCACTGTCTTTTGGTACACTGCATTCAAAGCATTATTGTTCAGCATCAGGCTTTCCAGAGCAGGAACATTACGAAATGCTAAACGATGGATGTAAGACAACTTTGGATTATTGGTAGCTTCAAGCTTTGTAAGTTCAGGTAGGTTGTCTAGTGCATACTTATCAACAGAAACCAGTTCTCCCATATTATTGATCCCAAGTTCTTTCAACCGCAGCATATTTTTAAAATCACCTTCTTGGATTTTGTGAATTGGGTTTTTGTTGAGGTCAAGGAATTTTAAATTTGGAACTTTCTCAAGAGCAAGCTGAGGAACCTTGACCAGTTTGTTATCATAAAAGGAAAGACTTTCAAGACTATCCAAACCTATTAATGCATTTCCAGGAATATCAGTGAGGTACATACCTGCCAAAACTAGACTTCTTAAATTTGAGAGTGGCTTAAAGTTCATATCTAATATTCCAATCACTGGATTTTCCCCAATCATAAGAATCTCCAAGTTAGGAGTAGAATCAAACCAACGACTGTCAATAATCTTTAATTTGTTAGAGTTAAGATGAAGTCTTAAAAGGTTTCTCAGGCCAGAGAATGCATTTGCAGAGATGCTACTAATCTGATTATGGTTTATGTATAGTTCCTGGAGATTGCAAAGATCCTGCAAGCAGTAGTCAGTCATTTCTGTTATCTGGTTTTCCTCCAGATGTAAAGTAGTGAGTTGAGTCAGATTTGAGAGCCCCACATCTTTGATACTAGTAAAATTATTCTGTGAAAAATCTAATTCTGTTAAATTGAAAAGCTGTTGGAGTTCATCTGTGGTCTTTGCAATGTTGTTGCTTTGTAACAGAAGAACTTGAGTGTCACTGGAAAGATTGCTGGGGATTTTTGTTAAACGAAGGTCATTGCAGTCAACTGTTGTAGCTTCTCTGTAGGTCGACTGTGGTGTAAACCATGGCCTGATTTCACATACACAAAGCTGTGGACATTCATTATTCTGTATGGAAGGCTCAGTTAATGAATTCATTAGCAATTCTAGCACCAACAGGCAAGCTATTAAAACAAATCTAATCCTAGCCATGCTGGTTTGCTAGAAAGTTCAACTGCCTAACCCCCTAAAATAGCAAAAAATTGAATATATAAAGCAGTATCAAGAAAAAAAATAAAAATTAAAGTTTAGGTTGTAACTCTTGCACATTCAGAATATAGGAGATGTTTTTTCAGAGTCTCTTTACTTTTCTCCTTTGTTCCAAGTGCTTGTACAAATTCTGCTGCATGAGTTGATTAACCCAAATCAGTGTCTGGAGAGGTCCCCTGAAAAGCAAAGTAGGAGAGATGTTATGTTCATTTCATCTACGTTTTGTGCATTCATTTCTTTCTTCTCTAAAGAAATTTTAAATAAGAACTCTATTAATTTCCAAATTCCTTAAATGAAACTGATCCTTTCTACAGATGATTCATATTACAACTATTTCTGATAGTCCTAGCTGACTAATCATTAAAACATATGTAACCTAGGGTTGCCAGCTTTCTACTTGCACAAAACTGAACATCCTTGCACCCCCCCTTTCATTCCATTCCCCCTGCTCCCCTCATCTCTTGCTCTCTACACCATTACACACTCACTCACCAGGCTGGCTCAAGGAGTTGGGGTGGAGGAGGTGAGAGAATAGGATCTACTGCTTTAGGATCTAACTGCACTCAAAACAATAATGATCGGCTTTTGTCTAGGGAGTCCAATAAAAATGAAAAATTTACAGTTCAGACCCTTCGGTATCAGAAACTCCAAGTAAGCAAAACAAATGCAAACAGATTTGGTGTACAAAATGGAGGTTAAACACTGATAAAATTTAAGTTAGGCCAGAAAACAGGTTTAATATACAATTTTCCAATATGATATTTAAACAATGAAGGGTATTATGAACATTTTTGGACTAACGGCATTTTACTGTGTAGTTTTCAAAAATCTGTTCTTAAAATTTCCATGTGTGAAACAAACTTCATTATGAGTGAGCTACCTGACTTCATCCTCAGACTTCCACACGGTTCGAACTTCCCTCCAATTCTAGCTTCTCCTGACCCAAAATATGAATGGCTAGTAGGGATGTGAACGGTTAACCCGTTTAAGCAATAAGCATCAGCCTTACTGGGTGATGCTTACTGGTTCCAGTTAACTGGTGGCCCGGCTGGACTGGAGCAGCTCTCTGCCAGGCCGTGGTGAGGTGGGCCTGAGCTTGCTCCCCACCTGTCTGGCCAGGCTCACCATACTGTGGCCGGGGGGGCTGCTCCACCCTGCTCCCCATCACTTGCCCCCATTTAAATGGTTTACCAGTTAAACATAAGGGCTGTGTCTACATTGGCATCCCTTTCCGGAAAAGGGATGCTAATGAGACACATCACAATTGCAAATCCGCGGGGGATTTAAATACCCTACTTTCAAGTAGGAATAAGAAATCCTCTGGAAAAAGGCTTATTTTCCAGAGAATCACGTCTAGACTGGCGCTTTTCTCCGGCTTAACCCCAAGCTGGAAAAAAGCGGCAGCCATGTAAATGCAAATGGTGCGGGAGATATTTAAATCCCCCGCAGATTTGTAATTGCGATATGGTTAACTGATTAAATGGGATTTTACATCTCTAATGGCTAGATCTTATGATGATGATAGGATACGCTCTCCAGCCTATTAAAACAATGGACGATAGATCTACATAATATACTAACTTCAGTGTCCATTTAATGTGTTTGTGTGAATGAAAAAGGTTTTTTAAATATGCATGGAACAATCTCCCCAGGGTCTTTCAGAATCTGAATCCAGAAATTGCATCAACCCACTGCAGATCACATGAGCTAGCTGTTTACATTCCACATCTACGGGTACAGTATCTACAGCATTTCCTAATTACAATGCAAAGCTTGTGAACATAGGTGTCACATTAGACTGAAGTTACCCATGAAAGAGAGCCTTTGAATTCAAGTAAAATATTTGACATTACTTGGGAAAACTCATTCTATTAAAATTTGAGTCATTAAATGTGTTTTCACGGCATATGTCAGGCTCTTCACAGAAAATTTCCTGATGCTTGCTTTTTTTTTTTTAAAGCAAAAACCCCAAACCAAAACACTATAAAAAGAGAGTTCTGTATGTGAAAACCTACTGATATATAATTTACCCTGTATGTTGTGAATTGCATGTGTGTGTGTGCAATCAAAGCTTAGTGAAGCTTAGTGTGTGTGTGTGTGTGTGTGCAATCAAAGCTTAGTATTACCCACAATTTTATACAGCCTCATTCTTGGTGGTAGGAGGGAGATTCTCCTGTAGACACGCAGCACCAAACCAGCCAATGTCTCGAGGTAGACAGTCAGAGCACTATTTATTTTCATGGCTTCACAAGTCTCATTCCAACACTAATATATTTTGTTTCTCCAGCTCAGAATCCTACAGCGTTATGGTTGCAATAATGCTGCCACATAGACTTCTTGTCTTCAGTGATATTTATGGTAGGAATTACCTTGGCTTGTTGCTTATGTGTGTTTTGAGCGTGCTGACATTGTCAGATCAAGTTCCTTAAACTCGTCAGCAAAAGGAGTTACATAAGTCACTGCAGTATAAGTCAGATACTCAGGTTCCTTTGATTTCAATAACTGTAAGGAATGGGACAAGGCCAAGTAAGGGCATCAAAATTCCTCTTCTGGAAATTTGCCAGGAGACACTTAGGCTTATATGATAACATTCACCTTAACTGAGGGTGTTTGGGGAATTCATTCTGTAGGGGAATTGTGGATGAGAAAACGCCCAATTAGATGTACTTATCTTAGTTACCTTCAATTAGAAAGCAGGTATAAAAGTATGAGATCTGAAAAAGGACAAATGGAAATGGAGAAACAGCACACCATGCGTTAGCAAGGCTGTTAAATCTTTAGTACATGTTCTTAGGCTGCCACAGTATGAACAAACCAGGTAATGATTTTCAGAAATATCCCTTCTCAGTCATGTTCTTCTTCTATCACCCCTCCACTTCAACCTTTATCCAAAAGCAGGGAAGGATGTTCCAAGTATTATTCTATTTCATGAAAAAACAGCCCTTTTCTGGATTTCCGCTAGGACCTAGCTCTCATGGCAAAATTATTCACACATCCCAGTTGCAGATCAAAAAAGGCCACTGGATCATCCGATCGTAATAAGTATTAGTTAGAACAAATGGATTCCTTACGCCAGTGTTACCTAAATACATACAGGCTGTGTCTACACTGGCCACATAACCCGTAATAGCTATGGAAATGAGAGAAGTCAGAATAGGGAAATGCGCGGGGGATTTAAATATCCCCCGCGGGATTTAAATAAACATGGCCGCCGCTTTTTTTCCGGCTTGGGGAAAAGCCGGAAAAGAGCGTCCAGACTGGCGCGATCCTCCAGAATAAAGCCCTATTCCGGAGGATCTCTTTTTCCTACTTGCAAGGAAAAAGAGATCCTCCGGAATAGGGCTTTATTCTGGAGGATCGCACCAGTCTGGACGCTCTTTTCCGGCTTTTCCCCAAGCCGGAAAAAAAGCGGCGGCCATGTTTATTTAAATCCCGCGGGGGATATTTAAATCCCCCGCGCATTTCCCTATTCTGACTTCTCTCATTTCCATAGCTATTACGGGTTATGTGGCCAGTGTAGACACAGCCACACAGTATAGAATCATAGGATTAGAAGGCACCATCCAGTCTAACCGCCTGCAAAGATGCAGGATTTGTTGGGTTTAAACTGGAGTGGGCAAACTTTCTGACCTGAGGACCACATTTCTGTATGGAACTTGCAAGCTGAGCTATGAATTCTCACAAAATTGAGCCCTGGGATACAGGGGGCAGTGAGGGGCTCTGGCTCGGGGTGCTGGCTCTGGGGAGGGGCCAGAAGTTTGGAATTCGGGGTGCTGGAGTGTGTGCTGGGCTGGGCAGAGGGTTGGGATGTGCGAGGAGGTGAGGACTTCAGCTGGGGATGCAGGCTCTGGAGAGGAGGCAGTTTGGGTGTGTGTGGGGGGGAGGAGGACAATCAAGGATTCAAGCACAGGGCGATGCTTGCTTCCAGCAGCAACTAGAAGCAGCTCCATTTCCTCCCTCTGACTCCTATACACAAGCAGCCAGTTGGCTCTCCATGTTGCCCTGTCCTCTGCAGCTCCCACTAGCCACGTTTCCCAGCCAATGGGAACTGCAGACCCAGGGCTTGAGGCAAAAGCAGTGTATAGAGCCCTCTGGCTGCCCTTAGCGTAAGAACCACAGAATGGACATGGAGCAGGGCGAGCTTCTGACCCTATGCTGAGTTAAAAGGTTTGACAGGCCAGATGCAGCCTGTGGGCCTTAGTTGCCCACCTTGGTCTAAAACAACCAAAACAGCTGTCCAGCCTCCTTTTGAAATCCTCCAATGAATAAATTGCCACACCCTTAAGAGTCAGTCTCTTCTATTGTCCTACAGTTCTTACAGTTAGGAAGTTTTCCCTAAGTTCATTCCATTCACATCCCTATTCTTAAGTTGCAGTATTCACTTTGAACAATAGGGGTAAGTGCCCAATACATACCAGGTTTTGTTTTGCAGTCTATAAAGTAGAGGGGATGTTGTGACCAGATTCTGGCAGGCAGTTACGACTTATTTGCAGCCAGGTCTACGTTAGACCAGGAAGGTCAGGTTAAGGTACGCAACTCCAGCTATATAAAATACATAGCTGGAGTTGGCTTAAGCCAAGCTTGATGCTGTCATCACAGAGGGCGGCCAACAGGAGCAAATACTCCTGTCTGCTTCCTTGCAGTTCTAAGCATTAAGGGCGTACTGGCACCAACTGGAGTCACCTTCGGTGCTCTATTTAGTGTGCAGACCCACTCAGTCTAACACCAGAAGACCGATCTCCTGCACAGCAAGTGAAGACATGGCCTATAGAAGGGTTGGGAGATCTCCCACATTCTAGCTTGTAAGGAAAGGACTGATTTCTTCATCTTTCAGAAACGAACTAGGGCTCACCAAATGGAATTAATGTGTAGCAAATTTAAAACAAACAAAAGGAAGTTTTCTTCATGCAGCGCAGCTGGTCCGTGGAACTCCTTGCCAGAGGATGTTGTGAAGACCAGGACTTTAACAAGGTTCAAAAGAGAACTAGATAAATTCATGGAGGTCAGGAAATGGATGACAGGAGAGGGATCATTTGATGATGACCTGTTCTGTTCACTTCTTCTGGGACATCTGGCATTGGCCACTGTTGGCAGACAGGATACTGGGCTAGATGGACCTTTGGTCTGACCCAGTATGGCCATTCAAATGAACTCTGACAAATTGAGGGAAAGTCTG